TAGGACACTGAAACTGACATTATTTGTTAATGGTCAACCAAGACCCCCTTGAATCAAGTCAGGTGAAATACCTCTGTCGAGAACTGACAGAACTTTGAAATAAAGTGAATCATTTATTGGATAGCTTGGAATCACCTGGAGAACCAGGACCTTCCACCAGTATTCCTGAAAATGATACTGTGGATGGTAGGGAAGAAAAGCCTGCTTCTTTGGATTCTTCTGGAAAACAGTATATTCAGGTTATAGCAGAAAGTATGTCCGTTTTTGACCCTTTAAAAAAACCAAGATGAAATAAAAAATAATGTTACGTCGGCGTCTGGCTTAACAGATGATCAGGTTTCAGGGCAACCCAGTGCTCTTGTAGAAGACTGTTCAGGAACACCTGACAGCATTGCCGCCGCCTCCTCAGCAGCAGCTCACCCAACAGGAGTTCAGCCACAGCAACCACCATATGCAGAAGCTAAAATACAAGCAGGTCAGACTGAAAGTCAGCTGTACCAACAGTACCAGCAACAGGCTGGCTATGGTCGCAGCGGCTACAGGCTCCACCTCAGCAGCCTCAACAGTATGGGATTCAGTATTCAACAAGCCAGAGTCAGCAGAATGGACCCTAAACAACCTCAGCAGTTCCAAGGATATGGCCAACAACCAACCACCTAGGCACCAGCTCCTGCCTTTCTGGTCAGCCTCAACAACTGCCTGCTCAGCCGCCACACAGTACCAGGCAAGCAATTATCCTGCACAAACTTCCCAAACTTCTCAGCCTACTAATTACACTGTGGCCCCCGCCTCTCAACCTAGAATGGCTCCAAGCCAACCTGGGGCCTGGGCCTATCAACCAAGACCAGGTTTTACTTCACTTCCTGTAAGTAGCATGACCCTTCCTCCAAGTGGGCCTAATCCTTATATGTCCTCCCTTTGGTCTGGGCTATACCCAACCTCGACCTGGTTATCAATAAGGAGGCTCATCTACACCAATGAATGTAGCTGCGGGCTACTGGCCTCCCAAAAGACTCCAAAACACTGTTTTAATCTGTAATGAAGTTCAGAAATTTTCAAAGCAGAGCATTTTTTATGATATCTTTGTTGCTGTTAATTGAAAGTATAATCTGCTGGAACACAAAGACCAAAATCAAAGTTCTTCCTCCTTGCTTAAAAATATAGCATCTTCTTAGTTATTTTGGAACACTACTCTTACATGTGTGTAAAGTGATTGACTTTCTAGCTTCCCTTGTACAGAGGATATTAAAATGCTAGTGTAAGGTTTAGTCATCTTACTTGGCTTTCTGCTATTAACATGATGTACTAAAGTAGAGACCTTTGAGAATACGACTAGATGTTATGTATAAAATGTAAGACTGATAGATTAATATAGATGATTGAATCAAAAAAAAACAGAGAAGTGTAAGGCTTCCTTGTATTTATATTACTGCTTTTATTATTCATATTATTCCTGGCTTTAAAAGTCAGGAAAAGCAGACTGTTACTTAATCATTACTCAAGTTTAGAAGTTAAAGGATTCCCAAACATTTACATAATCTCTTCCTTGAGCTCCCCATCATTCACTCCAAAGCGAAGAATTTAACATTGATGAACAACAATCTGTATATTTATCATTTCAGAACTGAATGACTCAACTGGCTAAGTTCTCCATTTTGCAACTAATCTCATGAGTTTCTTGTAACCCAGGTACTACCCTTATACTGACCAGGTGGTCAATTCCAAGCTACCAGTAACCATGTGAAATGTCCAAAAGAAATCCTCACTCCTGCAAACACGTCCCAAGATTATCCCTATAATGAATCCAGTTCTAGGGCCTTTTCAGCACTTCAAATCAAATGTAGGGCAAGAGAGGGAAAGCAGCTTATATAAGACAGGATCCAACATGAGAATGTGAAAAGCCTAACACTAATTACTCATCTTATTACCTCTTCACTTGCCGTCCTCCCACACTTTATCCAAGGCTGACACTTAACTAATACCATTCTCTAGCACCTCTGATTTCTCCCTGGACCTCTCCTAACCTGATCTCTCTAGCTACCATACTATGTTTTTACTACCTTTCAATCCAATTCACAAATCAGAGAGGCAATATGTTATCTCTGTTATCTTTTCAAACATCCATGGCCTAATTCCCTGGCAGCCAATCTTCCGTCCAGGTTACTTACCAACTAATCGCAATTTATATCCAAAAGTTATCTCTCAATTTTCTTGACCTCCCCATCATGAGCTACCACTGACCATTGAATTCATATGAAAGCTCTCTCCTCTGGCTGTCCTCTGTAACTCTCTTCTATCCCAAATGTCTTCCTCTTTCCTTCTCTACCTTAAGTTCCCTGACTATAGGTTTTCTCCAAGTTTCAGATTTTGATTTTTACTTCTTTCTCTATACTCTAGCAGCTCAGGTTTCAACTCTTTTATCACAGCTTTGACTGGTTCCTAAACAGTAATGCGTTCCCACTTCCTATTAGACATTTCTCCCTGCATTCATTCACTAAGAATTCACCAAGTATCCATCATATGCTATTTAGTGTGTTAAATGTTGAGGATATAGAGATCAATAAGGTCTACAAAGATCATCTCTGCCTTCAAGGAACAAAGACAAGTAAACAAAAATGTCTAAAACAATGTGATCAAGGTGGTAATTCTCACACAGATGTACAGAGGAAAAAAAACATCAAAATGATATATGGTAACAATGCTTTCCTATATTGATCTTACACACATTATTTGCACACATTATTTCAATTAAGTCTCATAACAATGCTAGGAGATGTAAAAGGTAAGATTCCTTAATAATTTAATACCAGATCGCACAACTAGTAAGTAACTAATTCAGGATTTGAGGTCAAATTTGTCTGGGCCAAAACCTACGTTTCTTCTTCTATGCCCAGTGAAAAGAAATCTAGACCTGATAAGTCAGGAGAGAATTCTGTTAAGAACATCTATTTAAGATCAATCAGTATTTCAAGAGAGTGTTTAAAGGCACAGTCAAGAAGACATCACTCAGGGAAATGACTAGCTTGGGACAGAACTTACAACCTGCATGTCCCCAAAACCCTCAAACTCAATCTAAAAACAAGCTCACCATCTTCTTCAAAGAAGTACTGTACTGTATTTCATTACAGACACACCTGGTGTTCTAATTTTTTAATTTCAGAAATTGCGATGCAGACATCATAGTGTGTCACAGTTAATTGGCAGTATTGTTTCTTTTCTTAGTGGAACATAAAATAATGGTGCCTCAGAATTTCTGGCTTCTTAGATTTGATAACAAATGGTAACTTTTTCCTAAACTTAATCCCCAAATTTAAATTCTTTGAATCACCAAGATCTATTTTTTCCCATAGTATCTGTTCTAATCATTCATTATTTTCCATTTTCCCTGCCACCAATCTGGTTTAAGGTAGTATCAATTGTGCATAGATTAAATACTCTCCTCACTGGTCTCCCTGAATCAGTTTTCCCTTATTCTAAATACTCAAATACAGCACTATGGATCAGTCTTTTAAAACCACCACTGTATGCATGCCACTCTCCCTCTCTCAAATTGGTTCTGCACTGCATGTAAGGGAGATTCCAATCTAGTTTCAAAGACTTCCATAAACTGGCCTAAGCTGACCTTCACATAGTTTCTTTGCTACTAATCAATAATAGCCTTCTACTCTAATCAAGCTCTTCTATTTATGGTCTCTTCAAATGCTCTAACCTCTGTCTATTAACCTCATGATTCTACCCATCTGAAATTTACCCAACTCTTATACTATTCAAATCAAATGTCAAGGCTCAACTCAAGCTTCATAACCTCCATGAAATATCCCTCAATCATTCCAAGCCACTTCTTTCTTCTGAAGTTCTATAACATGTGCTCCCTTGAATATTGTTGTATTTAACTTTTCACGGGAGTTTATGTCTTATTTCCACAATGAAATTAAAAGGATCAAAGGCAGAGACTATGTTTAACAATTATGCAGCATAGTTTAGTGGTTAATTACACAACTTCTGGGGCCAAACTACATAGGTTTGACTCTCAGCTCTGCCATCTTTCTGTGTGACCTTGGGCAAGTTACTTAACTTCTCTGTTTCAGTTTCCTCATTCTGTAAAATGGAGTCAATAACAGTATATACCTCAAAGAGTTGTGAGAATTAAATGGTCGTGTAGGACCTGTTCTTGATACATACTATGCACTCTGTAAGTATTAATTGCTATAAATTCATTAATGGTGATAAGTATCATAAGTGTTAGCTACACTATGTATGTATGTTACATAAGTGTTAGCTATTATTATTGTTATTTAGAATCTCCATGTTCAGCCCGGTGTGGTGGCTCACGCCTGTAATCCCAACACTTTCTGAGGCCGAGGCAGGTGAATCACCTGTGGTCAGGAGTTTGAGACCAGCCTGGCCAACATGGTGAAACCCTGTCTCTACTAAAAATAAAAATTAGCCAAGTGTGGTGGTGGGTGCCTATAATCCCAGCTACTCGGGAGGCTGAGGCAGCAAAATCACTTGAACCTGGGAGGCGGAGGTTGCAGTAAGCCAAGATTGCACCTTCCACTCCAGCCTGGGCAACAAGAGTGAGTGAAACTCCATCTCAAAAAAAAAAAAAAAAAAAGAATCTCCATGTTCTTGATACCCAAAATAGTAAGTATATAGCATTTACTCAGTATTTATTTGATGGAGGAAGGAAGAAAAGGTCTTAACATGAGAAGCAGCTTTTTAGGAAAGTGTCCATTTCTGACATTCTGGGGAGCAGGTGAGAAATCTGTCCAGGAATGGCAAAAAATACCTATTTTGGGGCCTACAAAGGCTAATCAATCTCAGGAGGAATTAACAGGAAAATGACAGAGGAAGACATTCCATAGGAAGCAAAGCTAGCTGTTCATAAACGTACATTTCATGTACACTCGCATTATACAGTTCTGTAGTAGTTTTGCAGTTTTAACGGCATCAGAGGCACACCAAGCTTTTTGGTGAGTTTAGGATAGATAGGTACTTACTGAGCATGCCTCTATAATTGAGGTCCATATCCCGGCTCTCAGATCGCACTTTAATGGCATCCAGGATGGCATCAGGAGACAACAGTCCCGAAGGCCTCACAACATTCAGAAGCTCTGTGAGGCTCATGAGAGGTAAACGTACAGCCTGCATGATTTCAGCATGATTCTCCTTTGAATTGTGCTTACACCAGTTTAATAAGGCTAGGAAAATATCTTTTTCGGGAGCTGCAAATGAATCTCTTAACACGATGTTTAAAAGTGCTGTCTGAAAAGGATAAAAAGGTAAAATTCCAGTTATGTGACGTTCAACCATTGCATGATCAATCAGTAAAAGCTTACAGAACAAGCATAACTTAGGCAATTAACTCTTTTTGACCCTCTCCTTCCCTTATGCTTTGTGCCACACAGCCTCCAGCTCATTATGGCTATGTAAACAACCAGGATGGTAGCACCTTTCTTTTATGCTCAGGTATCTTGTACCACTACATCAAACATTTAATCTTTCCAAACACATCTGCATTCATCTTTTTTAAAACAGCAAAAAGAAAAACACCAAAGTGAAAAGCTGTCAATACATACAGATTCTTCAAGGGAGTGTACATTGTTAAGTTAGAAAGATATATTTGGCATTTAAAATTCAAAGTATTTTGTTGCACAGTATTACTTCACCACCATATTTTTGGCTCTCAGATCTCCAAACTGACCTCCAGCAACAATAGTGCAACCCTCAAAGATCACTGTCTTTAAAAATTCAGTATAAAAAAATGAAATAGGATAACACAGATCTTAATTTACTCTCAAATCAAGATATGTAGCTTTTCAATAGGTTTTCTCATTAGAAATATCCAGGTTCTAGCAGGAACACAACAAGGGAAATGTAGAGACAATCGGCATCCAGAGTTCAAAGGAAGATTTGAGCAAAACAGTTTTACTCTAGCTATAACACTGAATTTTAAGCCAGCAAAGAAAGCAGTGACTTAAAGATATCAAATGATGCATCAGATCTCCTTTATGAATTTGCCTGCTTGCTCTAAGGAATTATTAGTCACACTCTCTGTCAGAGAAAAACAAAACCAAAAGGTAGTATGCAACACCAAAAAGGACCCTATTTGATTGTCACTACATTGAAAACAACCACTCAGCCGCACAGTCTCTTTTGCACAAAAAACTTACCAGAAGAACCTTAAAAGAAAATACAACCAACCAGCCCCTCTCTTTTATGATCTAGAGTCCTAGTAGCTAGATGCAAGTGGCTAGACCAGATAATCTCTTTGATACCAATGGTTTTTTTTTAATTATTCTTAGTCCACTGCTATACTTCTATGGTATAGGTATAAAGAAAACAATGCTGCCTATAAATTACTTGTAGACAAATGACACACCTTAGAAAGGGAGAGGAAACCTTCACTTGAGAGCACCTCCTGAGCATTCCTGTCCATAAACATGCAGCACATACAAGTTAACTTGGGAAGTGAGTAGAGACTGGCAACATCAAAAGTCATGCAGACATTCTGAATGTTCAGTATGGTACAGAGATACTCAGAGGTAGAATCCTCTAGCTCTGGAAATCCATATTTATGAGCCAGGCTCAAAAAGTCCAGCAGCACCTCCTCCTTCTCATCTGTCAGCGTTGCCCGCCCAGTGTAGATATATTTGAGTAGCATTGTGAATGCTTCTGCAGTGGTGTCTTGGAGAGGAATTTCTGCTTCAGGCTGAGACTCTCGCATTCCACCATACAATAATGCTCTGCACATCAGGGAAGAAACACATGAAGAAACTCTCAAATAGGATTTGCTACAAAATACTGGAAATAACAGTTATCAACATTATGCAAATATAAATTTGTTTAATGACACAAAGATCCAAGTGAAAAAATGCAAAATAGTCATTTAAAATGGTTCTTTAAAGGAAGCAAGAGGAATGATTTCAAAACTGTTTGAATTAATTCTATAAACCACTGAACTAACAAGATACTCTGAAAGCTCAAGATATGTGATAGATATTAAATAGGAAGACGAGAGTGATCTCTTGAGAGGCACAATGAAGTTGGTATAAAGATGTTAAAGGTCAATAAGGCAGTTTAAAAAGTAAAACTCTGTAGGAAAAGATATAATCAGATAAAGATAAACACTAATATGATGCCATTCTCCCCTGTAAGACTGGCAGAAATCAAGAGGCATTTTGTTAATATCAGTGCTGCAAAAGCAATGGAAAAACAGGTTCTTTGACACACTGCTTTGAGAGTATAAATGGGCAGCCCTTTATGGAAAGTAATTTAGTAGTATCTAGTCAAACATAAAATGTGTATACCCTTCAACTCAGTAATCTCTCTTTTAGGACTCAATTCTAGAGAAGTAATACAGTAAAGAAAAATGTTTAAGAAAACATACTGAAACACTAGAAAAAATCTAAATGTCCATCAACAGCAACTTGGTTAAAAAAACTGTGATATATGCATTCTATGCAGCCATTAAAAAGATCAAGGGAGACCAATAGGTACTGTTTTGAAAACATGTCCAGAATATGGTAGGCGAGTAAGTAAAATTACAGATCTATACGTACTGCATGAAAAAAGTATATAACCACATATTTACATGTTTATGCACGTATGTCTATACAGATATTTCTTTAAATCAAGAAAAATCAGAGGAAATTCATATTAAACTCTTAACATCACTTACTTCTGGGAAATGGTATTAGATGGCTGGGAGACAAAGACTTTCATCTGTCACTTTATAAATTAAAAATGAAATTACTGATAGGATTACAGTGATTTTTTTTTCCTTTCAGATTAAACAAAAAGCCCTACATTATTGCTTATCTAAAAAAAAAATGAAAACTAGACAATCCAGTTAGGTAATGAATTTGAATTTCTACCTCTATTAATCAAGAGGAACAATATGAACCAATTAAACTTCCAACCTATCAGGAAAGAAAGGACGAAGAGGACAAGGGAGAAGTGCAGAAAAGGGAGAGAAGAATACAGAATGAGAAAGAAAAGAAGCAAAAGTGAGAGGAAGAGACTGGAAGCAAGAAAGAGATTCTCTCTGTTACTAAAATTCTCAGAGGAGGACTAGCATTTCAGGGTTACCTACCTGGAACTTGTCCCACCCTCTCCCAGGACCTAGCATTCTTGCTTGCCCCAGGAAAATAGTTGAAACCACCCAGAAAAGATTCATGAATATTCTAAGCATACCTCTTCACTGGGTTATACTCTGCCTAAAAATGCCCTTGAAGGTTTCCATTAATCCAGAGAGCATCCAACCATTACCCTAAAATTACCAAATCAAAGAACTTCTCCTTCTTGAGGAGACCTCAAGACTTATCCCCAATCCTGTATGATCCATGGTATTTATCTGGATTCTCAATGCTTTAAAAGTGGTTTTGATGAGGCTCCCTTGGAACAGTAAATATGAACCCCCAACTTCAACAAGGAGACAAGCACAGAGGTTCAATGTTTACTATGAAGAGTTTCCTCCTATAAGTTCCTTATCTGGGAATTGATAGGTTACTATGACAGCACTTAAGCCTCTTCTGACAGCTGACAGTTAACATTCCTTTGCACATGAATACTGTCAGCATTGAGAATCTGTCCAAGGTAGCATTGAGCTTAGCTCTAAGGTAGACTTAGAGGTACAGCTTAGCTCTAAGGTAGTCTAAGGTAGACTCTGAGCTTAGCTTAGTGAACCAGCAAATATTACAAAGGTTCAATATCTACAAAGACATCAAGAACAAGGTCAGTAAGTGGGGGGAGTATATTCCATTCACTCAATACAATCTTCAAATTTCTAAAAGTAGTTGAGTTTCTTTTAAGGATATACTAATCACCTAAAAGAAACCCTCATAGAGTTGTTTCAAATTATTTTTAAAAGAGGACAAGGTATACTGTATTAATAAATAATAAACACAGGCCAAGAAGTTCTGACTTAATAAAAAGTGGACTCTTGTAAAACACTTTAATAGTAATGACTGGACTGAAATTTTAAAAGGGGGAAGAAACAGAAAACGAAAAGTGTGCAGAGGACAGATGATAACAAATAATGGCTAGACCAAGGTCAGATGCCTTGGTAGAGTTGACCGCTAGGAAGAATAGGAGAGTGTTACAACTTTTAACAGACTCCTCACTTTTCTAGGCTCCTGGTTTCATCCACATTGGCATTTTACATGTGTAAAACTGGAAGTTCATGAAAAACCATAGGAGCTCTAGCTACACAGTAAATATTTTCAGGAGACATACTTTACCACAACGTGTCTGACTCTAAGTGTTGCTGTCTTGATTAATTCTGATTATAAAAGCCAGACTGCAGTTATCACTAGAAGGTAACTGAAATTTTCTCTAAGCCAATGGAATCTCCATTTCAGATACCAAGTTTCCTAGATAAATCTATAACTCTGTGGAACATCTTTATCCTTAAAAATAGAAAAAGATCCATTATCATGCACAAATTATAACTCACTCAGTAATTCAGTGATGACTCCCTTTTAACAAATATTAGGTAAAATGCAGAGTACTTAAAGATCAGCTTAAGATTTATAACCCTGGAAATTAAGGACCCAAGTGACCAACAACAGCTGCATACAAGTGCACGTCTTAGATCTGCTGGGTTACTAACAGGTCCTAGACCTCAGGAGTCCCAAACCAAGTGGTATATGTGTCCATTAGCAGGTCCACAAGGCAGTCTACCTATACAAAAGAAGCTTTAGTCCCATTAGCCATCTATTGGGAGGAGAAAGTGAAGGTAACGAAGACTCAGCCTGAGAAACATTCTTGACACCTTTAAAAATGGTTGATTGGGCACTACCTGGTTTGGGAAACCTTCCAACCCTTTCATTTTAAGATGGCTCCTAAAGGAAAAGGTGATTCTCAAAAAATAACAAAGTCTACAATATCTTTATAGATACTGAATTGAGGCACTGCGAGAATTTGTCATTATACTTGGTTATGTATTTTTCACAGAGCAGAAAATGCCAGTGTTTTCTACAAGTGAACTGAATTTTCAAAAAAAGTATTACACACTTACCGAAAATATTGGCACCTGGCTGCTAAAATTACCCTGTGGGCAGGAAAACGTTTCTTTTCCACAACAAATGTGACGTCGCCATATTCTTCCCCAATCAACAAGGCACCAATATGTTCAGACAAAATGTGCACATGATCAATTTCCCCCACTGCAGTGAAGGGGCGAAGAGGGTGGCTGTTACTCATCTTGTGGAGCAGATGATAGTCGCTGATCTATCATATGAAGAAGGAATGAGAGTTAGTGGGGGGAGGGGAGTACACATAGAAAATCACATACCATAAACATAGCTAAGTAAAAATTTAAAGTGCTTACAAAAATTCCTGTGAGAAAGTTAATCAATGGTATCTTTATTAACCCATTTATTTTGAGAAGGAATTCAGTCTGCTTCCCTTAACTGTACTCCCTTCTTCACACTAGGAAAGCAAAAATGCCAGTCTCCAAACACTAACAGCACTTGGAGCCATCAGTCTAGAAAACTGAGCCCAAACACAGGTCCCATATTCCTTACAGTAACTTAGGAAAAGAAAAATCAACAATCAGAATAACTTCTCTTTTGCATAGATATACTGAGTAAGGTTGGGTACAACTATACCCAATAGAAAAGTCATTCAGGCATAGATCTAGGCCTAAATTACAAACAGAGTAAGTGAAATAATCAGATTTCAAATAAGAAGTTTTGGTATGCAACCATCTCAAATATTTTATTTAAAAAAAAAAAATCTTCTGGGGCCGGGCACAGTGGCTCATGCCTGTAATCCCAGCACTTTGGGAGGCTGAGGCGGACAGATCACCTCAGGTCAGGAGTTTGAGACCAGCCTGACCAACATGGAGAAACTCTGTCTCTACTAAAAACACAAAATTAGCTGGGTGTGGTGGTGGGAGCCTCTAATCCCAGCTACTTGGGAGGCTGAGGCAGGAGAATCGCTCGAACCCAGGAGGCGGAGGTTGCGGTGAGCCAAGACGGTGCCATTGCACTCCAGCCGGGGCCACAAGAGCGAAACTTCATCTCAAAAATAATAATAATAATAATAACCTTTTGGAGTCACAAAAATAACTTGACATTTATTAATGAACATTTGCAGTAGTGTCCTAAGCTCCCCACATCCAACAGAAGAGTAACTCTAACAGTTTTCTCAAGACTGTGGCTTCTACTCCAAACTTGTTGCTCTGATGATCAGGCTGTCAGTGTTTACCAGAACATCATTACACTTTGTCTCATTTCCAGGCACCTTCCTTGCTTTTGTATGCAATGTCTTTCTACAAAAGTAACTGAAAATCAAAGGGAAAACATGATTAACAGCTTTACATGTAAGAAAGTGGCGGGGGTGGGGTGGGGGGTTATAGTCTTAGAAAGCTTAAAATGTTTCTATTTTTTAATACCGAATGTACTTGCAGGTATTTAAAAAAAAAAAAAAAAAAGTTGGTCTTGCTCTGTTGCCCAGGCTGTAGTGCAGTGGCGCGATCACCACTCAGTGTAACCTGGAACTCCTAGGCTCAAGTGATCCTCCCACCTCAGCCTGGCAAGTAGCTGGGACTACAGGTGTGTGCCATCATGGCCAGCTAATTGAAGGTACTGCTTTGATAAGTGTAAGTAACCGGCAAGTATGTTAGAGCCTTGGCTAGCATTCAGATGACCCAGGTGAAGAGGTGGTTGTTAGCTCAGAGGTAGCCAGCTACCCCTCCGCTGCATCAGAGACTAGAGAAATTGAGCCAGATATGTTTTCTCTGCTAGACCTCCACACCTTTTTGAGTTCTCCACTTGAACCACAATTAAAGGTTGAACAGCTCCTAATCTTTAAACCCCCACATCCAGATCATTAGCAAAGTGTGTGAAAAATGATCTTTCTCTCCTATGACTGCAATGGAAGATCTTCATGGACCAGATTCCGAATCTGCCTGCTTCAGTTAACCTAGTACCATACACCCACCCTCAAAAGGGGGAGCAATAGCAGTGATGCAGAAGAACATGGAAAATGAGCTAGGCAAGAAAACACCTACCCCAGGTAAGTGAGCAAAATCCTGGTTCCCTACAGTAGGAACATCAGAGAACTAGCAGGATAATCCCCTAACTGCCAAGGGAAATCCTTCTCCCTCAACTGCAGCCTCCATTTGAAAGCCCTAAAAACAGAATAATCTCTAGTCACTTGTGTATGAAAGACCAAATTCAGCTTAAGAGGATCTATTTGAGAGTATGAGCAAGTAATGTATGATACAATAGTCTTAATGTGTATATACAACAACAGTGTAATACAGGAGTTGGAAAACTTTCTATAAAGGTTCACATGGTACACAGTTTAAAGCTTTGCAGGTTATACAATCTACGTCAAATGATTCAGCTCTATGGTAGGAGCCTAAAGGCAGCCATAGGCAATAAGAAAATGCATAAACATGGCTATCTCCAATAAAGTTATTTCTAGAAAAGACCTAGATTAGACTTGCAGGACACAGTTTGCTAGCCCCTGGCCTACCCTGTGATCAAGGACTGACCTCAAGGACTGACTGTACTCTAGGCAAAGGATCAGACTGGGAGGTTTTTTGTTTGTTTCCTGCTGGGTTACCCAACTGATGTTCCTATGATCATTTCCTGTGTTGGCCAGGAAATTCAGAAAGCTACTGCAACCTGACTTCAAAACCTCTTCAATACAAACTCTCACATCACTATCCAATATTTCAATGATCGTCCATGACTCTAAACAAAACGCTCTTCCTGGCTGAAAAAAATGCAATGTATATACCCAGTAAATATATTTTCTGGTATATTTTCTTAATATTTAATTCAGGTCATGGCTAATACTCAAATTACTTACTAAATGACTCTTGATGAACAACGATTGATTTTTGGTTAACCAGTTCAGAAGGGAAATTTATAATTCTTAAACTGATATATCATAAACATTAATATTACATATGTATATATCTACCACAATAAGTTCTCTGGAGCTTTACTTCTCAATACATCTAATTTCATTTTGCTAAACTTGCATTTTAATTATGTTTTTCCAAATGGAAACATGAAACTGTTTCATGTACAGAAAATAGCCACTTAGGATAAAATAAACACAATTTTATTGGCATACAGAAATAATTTTAATTAGACTAGTGATTCTCGGTGAGCTTGCCCAACAATGGAATCACATGGGGAGCTTAAAAACAACAACAAAAAAAAGATGCTTGAGTCCCACTCATCAGAGACTCTTATTTAATTAGTCTAGAATGAGGCCCAGGCATTGGAATCACCATTCTGAAGTGATTCTACTAAGCAACCTGGAAAAACAGCCACTGATTTAGACTCTTACAGCTGTAGGTTTCCATCCCTTGCTCAGGTGTACAAGTATACAAAAAAAAAAAAAAAAAATCCACAGAAAAAATTCATTTAGCATATAATTTAATTTGAATCTTATTGCAAAGATCCAAAGGTACTAACAAAGTTACCAATGCCACAGTTTTATGCAGAAAATGAGTATTGTTTCACCAATGGGATAGTTTATCTACAAAGCGATAGTTTCAGTCTACCTATGTGTATTTTAAAATGTTGGCCAGGCACAGGAGCTCATGCCTGTAATCCCAGCACTTTGGGAGGCTAAGATGTGAAGATCATTTGACACCAGGGGTTCAGGACCCTGTCTCTACAAAAAAACTTAAAAATTAGCCAGGCATGGTGGCATGAGCCTATAATCCCAGCTAATTAGGAGGCTGAGTCAGGCGGATCACTTGAGCCCAGGAGTTAAAGGCTGCAGTGAGCTATAATTGTGCCACTACACTCCATCCTGGGCAACAGAGCAGGAACCTGTCTCAAAAGGATAAAAAAGAAAAACCAAATTTAAGTTAAATGGATTAGGAAACAAAGAGGCAAAAAAAAAAAAAAAAAATCAATATTTGCAGATAATGACTGCCCACATGAAAAATCCATGAGAATCAACTGAAAAATTAGAGAAAATAAGAGGGGTTCACTAAAGTGACCACATAAAACAATTATATGAAAGTATCTAGCATTCTTCCATGCCAAAAACAACCAGCTAGAAAATATTAGTAAAAAGATCTGCAGTTTATAACTGCAAAACACAGGTAACTTGTAATAATAAACTCATAGGACATGTAAGGAAATTATAAAACTCCCACTGAAAGATTTAAGAAAAATACAGAGACATAAGTTGTTTGGGGATAGAATGATCCAATATTATAAAAAGATCCACATTTTCAACTTACCATGGGTTTATCAGGATGTAACCATATTGTAAGTCTAGGAGCATCATTTATATAAATGTAGCATTTCAATTAAATGGGAGAAAATACGGAATTTTTTTCAATGAAAGGTATTGGCTAGCCATTTGGAAAAAAGTAAGCTGAATATTCACATAAGAGTACAAAATGAAATGTATATGGATGTCAGCTTCAGCACTTTCTGTAATGCAAAAAAACTGGAAAAAACCCTGAAGGCCCATTTAAAGAGAATTGGTTAAACAAATAATGGTATGTCTATACAATGAAATATTATAAATGATTTAAAAAGAATAAAGTTAGATACTAATGAACTGAAAAAAATCTTAAGCATGTGTATTTACATACAAAAGACAATCTATAAAACAATAGTATAGTGAAATATCTTGTTTAAAAAAATACACTGAAAATGCAAGAATATACATCAAATTGTTAACCAACGGTTAAGTCACTAGACTGGGGCTGTGGGAAAATTTTGCATAGTGCGCTACATACTTCTGTAATGTTTACAAATGTTATAATGTTTATTTGTAGTAAAACTATAAACAAATATTTCAGTAAGTTTGGCCACAAAATTACAAAATAAATTGCTTTGTGTATGAGATAACAAGTGTTGGGATTTGCCATAGCAATAGAACTTGATTTAGTGACTAAGACAGAAATGGCAAGCAGAGGGGCTATGTATTATCTCCGCAGAGAAAAATTAATTAACAACTTGAAGGCAAGGACATAAAGTTCATTACACTAAAACCAGCAAGGGAAAAAAAAGTTCATTACACTAAGACAGGTAAATCAGATACCTGGGGAGCATGGCCTACTAGGACACTGCATCTGCTATTTCCCAACTACAGATCTTCACCTAAGAGAGTTTCCGTCTGACTCTTTCTAGACTTAAGGCAGATTTTTCCAGATGCAAAGTGTTCTTCAGTTTGCCCCTATTGACTGTCCTGGAGTCTAAACTTGCTGATCCTCACAGCATAGGGCAAGGGTAATC